TTATATACAGTATAAAAATTACAAAACATTCAAAAATAATGTTTAAATAAAAAGCATAAGTTTTTTAAATACAAATTTGTTAATTAATTTTTATTATATGAACTAAATAATGCAATATCAATACAACTGTAACTCTATAAACTTTATATAATCGCACAAAATTAAAATATATGAATACATTAACAATAGCAGATTTTGATGTTTTGCAACCCGTAAATGTTGCCACCCTATTCAATCACATTAAACACATGTATAATTATAATGATATACGGTATGCATATATGGTAAATACCTACGTATATGCATATCATATATGCCAAACAGCGGGCGCCCACCACAGGCCCGGGGACCTGAGGCCTCAGGATTTTATTGAGGGAAATGGTAGGTCTGGTTGTAGTGGTGACCACTAAAGTGGTGCACACCCTGTGTGCGGCCGGCGGGCCATCGGGCGGCACACGCCATGTAGTGAAGGTACGGCTCACACTATATGCACACTTTGTGGGCATTTGGGTGGCGGCCGAACCGGCGCGACATATGTGCCGTGTAGTGGCGATGCCGCTGATTATTGGCGGGCACTTCGGGGAAGCGCTAGTGGCCGGCCGACCCGTCCGGTACCGACGCCGCAAATAGAGTTGAGGTTTTCATAGACTCAACATAAGGCACAAAATTCAAAATTTTAAAAATACTTTAAGTAAACATTATTTATTATTTAAAAACCAAATAAGGTAATAGTGTTAATCAACTTACCTATAACTCGTTAATATAGCACAATAATTTAGTTTAAATTATTGTGACAATTAATAGCCGCGCTACTTAAACGGCGAAATGTCGCTAATTAGTTGCAATTTGATTATCTTCATAGTAAGGCAACCGCGTGGGGACGTTTTGAGGGCTTTTTTCACAGTTTTGAGCACAATAATGACTATTACAACTATTTGTTCATTTTAAAGCATTAGTTGTGCTGTGACTCTCTGACTAATTCATGGTTTTTGTATAGTCTGCATATTAAATGACTCATTTTTTGGTTGCTCTACTTCATAGAAATCGCAGAACTTACAACTTTATTATTAATCGCCCAATCGGTTCCAATCTACAGAATATTGTTGTAAACAATGACAAATACAGTAGTAGATAAATTCTAAATGCTTTAAATAACTTTATTGAACAGACTCATCATATAACTCAGATTTGTCCGGCAAAACATTATAGTTATTAAAAATTAATATTATCGCTCCATTGTATAAAGCAAAACACTATTACACATTATCCCATAATAGGAGTGACTGGTAATTAGAAAACAAGTATTGATTAAATAGTAATATGTGAATGTATAAACAAATATAAACGGTCAATGTATAATAGTGGTGGCCAAAAACCGAGCGCGCTCGATTTTTTAGAGTGACCAGTTGTTCCCTCAAAAAAACACATGAATTTATATATTAATAATTTAATAAAAAAATCAAATTGTTTAGCAAATATTAATCGTTTTGAGTTTAATTAACAAAATATTATATTAATTCAACTGTTTATTATAAGTAATAATATTAATATTAGTTTGAATTATATTTGTTGACCGGAGTCTGAGGGACTTACTGTCTCAACACTTAATTGATTAGTGCCTGGGTATATTTGCAAACATTTCCTTTAGTATTAACAATATATACACCAAAATATTAAAATCAAGAATAATTTTATACGTATATGCATTTTTCCAATAAATAACGTAATATGGAATATACTTGCAATAATGTGTAGAAAAATGAAAGTGTAACATACCTGTAATTAAAAATTTACCTGTTCGATTTTAGTGATTTAAACACTAAATTGTTCAAAATTAAATATCGTAAAAGCGATTTTTCAAGGTTATTATATTTTGATTTTTAAAAAATTATATTATATGAATTGATTAATTGTAAGTTAAAATTAATTGAGATTTTCCACATTTAAAAAACAAAAATATTACAAATCTGAGAAATTGATTATTTTGATATTTAGTTCTAAATAATTTTATGTTTAAGTCATTAAAATCGAACAAGTAAATTTTCACAACATGTCATTTATTGGAAAAATGCATAGACACGTATAACATTTTATTTAATTTAAACATTTTGATGTATTTATTGTTAATACAAAAGAAAAATTTTAAAAACTTTTTGCATTTAACATTAAACTCAATGCAAATTTAGTGCATTGTAACTTAAAAATTACTCATAAATACGGCAAAACTCAGAAATATTTTAGAAATTTTAGATGTCTAGGTGCTGCATGCAGGTAATACAAAGTGTTTGCCTTTCAATATAAAACAGAATTAAACGAAAACATTTAATAATTGATAAATAGCTAAGAAATGTTCAATTTCAAATAAAAGTTATGTTTAATAGTTATGCTTAAAATTTATATGTTGGTCACTCTATTCTTACACAAATTACGATAGCGTTTGGCCAACACTAATGTATAATAACAGTTAAGTGAGAAGTAATACAGAAAATAAGTTGGCCCTGATTTCATTAAAAATGTGACGTAAGACGTGACACAACTTTTGAGGCCATTCCTGTGCATCTGGTAACCCTACACAAAAAACTTAATTTTTATATTATTTACCACTGTGCTATAAAAATATTGTTTCTCACTCTCCATGCGTGTTTTATTTATACCGTCTATTGTGAACAATTGAATTTTTAAATAATAATTTTGATTTAAAATAAAATATTTTTAATTAATTTATTGTTCGTATTATATCGTTATTTAGATATCTTATTTAGACTATTTAGATAAAGATATAATAAACAATTGAATTATTTACCAAAAATTAAGTCAATAATTGTGGCGACAATGAACTTGTTCAAATCATCTGGTTCCAGTCTGGTAATTAATAAATTATTACATTAATTCATAAGCGTTGATAATCATGATGCTAAGCATGGATGTTTGTGATTATAAAGAGTTTTAATTAAAATGATAATAAAAAAATGAATTTACAGTATATGTACAGTTATTTTACTTTTAATTTGATTAAAAAGTTTATAATTGCCTAAAATTAAATTAATTATGTTTTTAAATAGTATAAAACAGTTTTTTATGTATATGATTAAAAGTGAGATTAGTATATAGGCGGCCGATATCTTTCCTCCAGTCTGAATTTACAATATCTTCCAAACTGAATGAGCTAGCTCAAATCTGTAAACGGTAAAATGATGTCCCATATATCTAATATTTTATCTGAAAAAATTATTCATTTAGAATTATATACAAAATAAGCTAAATTAGATCAACTCATGAGAAAATGTAGCTTTCAATTGACCAGTCAAACTACATGATAATTCTGCTACAGTTCATGTTACAATTAATATTTTTGTTAATATTCGCTTCATACCTGACCGCCGTGTGAGCGACCTTGCGCAAACATTCCCAACTGGATAGGTGTTAGCTAAATAAAACATCTTGGTGATCACTAATGTTAAAAATACGCGTTAAAAACAATAAAAGTTCATAGTATAATCATCATGATGCAATTCCGTTGTCAACATACATAATGATATGTCAAGTCGTCTCATGAATTCTGGCCGAGAAAATGCCTGTTTAGTGACAGTCGGGTCGCCGATGATTATTACTAGTTTGGGTCGACCCATACGGTCACTCCCGAGCCGTATGTTCTGTACAACTGTCTCAAGTGGTCAGTCCAGCGCCCTTTCATACTAAACACTGTTTGTTATTATTGCTTAATTAAATTTTATATTTATAAATTTATTTTATATTTACGTAATATATTGCCAATCAATGGGAGACGCGTAGGACCGGGCGGATAGTTGCTTAGGTTGGCGTAGAAGTTACCTAGGTAATAAATAATTTTAAAAACTTGCTATTGTTATCATCAGCGATACGAATAAAACATTTTGATAAATAATTTGTGTCATTATATTTGTGCTCAACATTATCTCATTAATAGACATTTTGCTTTGAAAACATGCAAATATGGTTATAATTCAATATAACTATGCAGTGAAGCGCAAGTTTTGGCCAAAAACTCTTTAATATTTAGTATTTTATTGATTTGGTCTAAAATAATAAATTAGTTTTTGTGTTATTTATTTTACATTTAATAAAACAATAAATGCGTATAATATTTACTTTTATCATAGTTTTGGCCAAAAACTCTTTAATATTTAGTATTTTATTGATTTGGTCTAAAATAATAAATTAGTTTTTGTGTTATTTATTTTACATTTAATAAAACAATAAATGCGTATAATATTTACTTTTATCATGGCAAATGTATTGTTTGCCAAAACACCTAGCGCATTTCAAATATAACGTGTGTAGTTGTGGTCATTTATCACGCCATTAATAACACTCAATTTCACACTGAAATTCATTAATTAATAATAGTTGTTAATTAACATCAATTAAGTTAAATTATTGTTTATTAATTTATTTATATGTAAACTTTGAGATGTTGGTAATTTTTATTATTATTTTCATATAACTTGTAACTAGATGGAGGCAACATGTTGAACTTAAATTTAATTAAAATTAATTAGTATCAGGTAATCGCTACACGTATATAATTGTTATAAAATGTAACGTAATTAGTCAGACATATTGGATAAAAAAGTGCAAACATCTTAAAACAAAACATTTTTAGGCATTTTTAAAATTATGATACAACCTGATTTTGTTAGCTCTTGATTGTAAGTAAATGATTATAGATTTCTATTATAATTGTTAAATAAATAGAATTTTTTATATTGAATTATAATTATTAATAATTTATTAAACTATTACATATTATTTATAATTTACAAAGTTTAATATAAATTTAATTATTATGTTATTAAAATAAAATTCCTGTATAACCTATTATTCTCAAATTATGATACATTAGTTTTTTTAAAATTCTATAGAATAAATTGTAATTTATTATTTCAGGTAGTGGTTGTAACGCTAATGAACAGGCCCATAGGTTAATTAATCTAATTGATCTAATTACTTTAATTGACCTAGTGTCCGTATGGGTCAACCCACACCAGTAGTAATCATCGGCGACCCGGATGTCGCTAAACAGGCATTTTCTCGGCCAGAATTCATGGCACGACTGGACATATCATTGTGTACGTTGACAACAGAATTACATCATGATAATTTTACAATGAACTTGTATTGTTTTTAGCGAGTAACAATATTGACCACCAGGATGTTTTATTTTGCTCACACCTGTTCAGTTGGGACTGTTTGCACAAAGTCGCTCACACGGCAGTCAGGTATGCTGTTACTATTAAACAAGTTACGAGTGTCAATATTAATTGTAACATGAAATCAGTATTACCATTAAATTTTACATATTAAGTGAAAACTTTATTTTTCTATGAGTTTCATAGATTTAATGTTAAATTTCATTTCTGGGCTTCTAATCAGACTATTTATAGCACAATTGTGCGATCATTTTTAGTCCAAAATTGTAGAAATGTTTAGACTAGAGTTAGACTAAAAATGTCCAACAAATTTGCTCATTGACAAATAAATAGCAATGATCCTGCTGACATATTAATACTCAATACAGTATTTTTAAAAACTGTTTAAAATATTTCAATTTAATTTTGATAAATTTAAGCAAGTTTAAATCTATGTGGTATTTGTTTTATTTACTAATAGAGAATCAGTTTCATTAAAGTGTTTAACTAAACATTAATTATATTTTACACAAATTACATATTTGTATTCATTTGCGTTAGGCGTCAGCATATCTCACATATTTTACTTTACATTCTATGAATAAATGCAATAATGATTGAATTTGTAATTTGCCCTGGTGCATGTATTATAAATCAAATGTCATAATTAAAATTCTTAACATATGTTGTATTGTTCTGAAAACGCGATTCACTTCTCCAGCACAACAAAACTGATGCAGTGTTTGCTTTCAATTCATTAACCAATTACTAAATCAATTATTAATGTGTGCTATTTTCAAATTAAACTAACCCAATTATTATTTAATTATTTTAAATTTATTATAGCTATATTACATATTTATTATAACACTCGGCAGACATTTTTCTCTAAAAATTTTGTTGAATTTAAGGCTTATCTACTCGTAACTAGTAGTAATAATTAAAATCGGTAGTTCAAAGTAGTTTTTGAAAATGTATAAATATATTAATTATTGAGTATTATTAATAAGTATAAGTATACTATATTTAGTTGGCTGACAATTCACTCATATGAAAATAAGATATAGCACAAATTAATTATATTTAATTGACATAACAGTTTTAATTTAGTTTACACTTTAAATAATAGCATACACACTATTTATTATATACTGTAAGTCGTATTATATAAATATAGCATATTGATTAAATGTTTCCAGGTACAAATGTTGTAAGCTTGTTTATAACAACTAATTAATACTACTAATAGATTATTAGAAAAGAATAATTATTTGATAATTATAACAATTAATCTAATTAATTATAATTGACATAAAAACAAGTCGCATGGTTATAATATAACATGATCAATATACTGTATCTATTTAATTACTACTTGTAAAATGTTAAAATTTATTGCTATAAATACTATAAATAAATTTTATAATAAATATTCATAACTGTTGTATGTGCATTACGCTTTTAATTTAGCATTATCAAATAAATTAAAAAGTATGATTACTTATGAATATTTGTATAGATTTATAAAATACACTAGGTTTGATCAATCTAGTGTGCTAAAGTGCAACTTACCGTGCAATGAGCAAGGATATATGGCTATTATTAAACAAGAGGTTAGCCAAATAATTAACCATTTTAACTAA